ACGCGCGAGCGCGCACACGCACACGCATACACACACGCACACGCACACACACGCGCACACGCACATGCACTCACATACACACATTTAAGCACGCACGCATGCACGTAAATAATACTTTTTTTATACAACTTACAATGGCAAACAAGCTGACAGCCCACCTGATGGAAAGTGGTAACCGTCGCCTATACACATGAGCAGTACCATGGACGTAACAGAGTATACTGTTTCGCCCATGATACCTTCACGCGTTGTCATTCCTAAGGACTCAGGTGTTATTCCTCTGTACCCAGTAAATTCACTGCCATACCCCACCCTTCAAACCGAAATATTAAAAACTTTACCATTTTGCACGCCATTAAAACAATGTGGCTAAATATGCGATTCTATAACACTAATTAAGTTTTTATTTTAACCACATTTATGCAAATAAAATATTGTTATTATATATTAAATAAAATGTAAAGAGTTTGCATGGGCCTGTCGCCAATATATTATACAAATAATTAATATGAAAGTTTGTAAACACACTTAAATGTATGTTACACAACTACGTCGAAATAAATGAATAGATTTGAATGTAATTTGGCATACAGATAGTTATTATATCCCAGATCAACAAAATAGGATACATTTTAGTGTAATTAACGAGATCAAGACGAAGACAGTAACTTTTATAATAATTACAGAAGCAAAATTTTTTTAAGATTATGTTAAAAAAATTAACATCAATAGTGACCTAAGTATAGACCAGTTATTTTGAATTAAAAGCTAGATTACTAAAGCCATTTTAATAATATTTTAATGAGACCAAGCTGTAAATGTATCGTTTCTGATAAAATAACAACTATCCAAATCACTGTATAACTGATGGAGTTGGGGGGAAATGGATTGTTAGTAATGGAGACTGAAAATCCCATTGCTAGAAATATACCCAACCAGGTCGACATCCTCGCGGTTCTCACTGGAAACTATCATGGTTAATTCCTGATGAATACATCATGATGTGCTAACTGGCCTGTTTTCATTCTCATCTATCACCCTTCACTGGTGCTCCGCCAGCGTATCCCGTTAGCGCAGGCGGGGTTACCATTCCATTTTCACCCATCGAAAAAAAAAACTGATGGAGTTATGAGGTAACAAACATAAAAAATATATAACCGAATTGAGAATGGATCAGTGAATGAATGAATGAATGAATGAAATCTCTTTATTATTCCCTTAAAAAAATGATACAAAATTATAATGATTATTGATTGAGAATCGCCATCTTTTGATATTTTTGAAAATTGTTTGCTTCAAATATTTGTTGCAACAATGAACAAACTATTTTTATAAAAATAAAATATTTACTAAACGGTTTTTTTTTATATAAATTTGCTGTTTATATAAAAGAAACCTTTGTGTTTTTTTTTTAATATTACTATATTAATAGTGAACTTTAAAAGCATTATATTATTATAAATTAATAATATATTATGGTAAATCTATTGTAAATTTGACGACTTCGAATTTTATATTTCACAATGTCACAAGTATCCATAATAACTATAATATATAAGATATAAATATAAATTGAGATAAAAATAAGATATAATTTAGACATAATTTAAATATTATATTTGTTTTTTTTTTTTTTTGTCAAAAAACTTGACCTAGTAAATTTATACGATTGTAGGACATTTGATTTTATATTTTATTATTTGTTATCATATTTATGAATTAATTTGCAGGCAGCAAAATAATATTATAATAAAAATACGCTCACGATTATAATCTCTAATGGGGTAATCGAAAGCTTTTATCGAATTATGACATTATGGTGAACGTAACAAACGAAATGTCCATATTGTCATGATAGGGAGAGTTTGTACAAAGCTTACGTTTGCGTGGGCACCTCTTTCCCATTCGTGTTTCTACTGTGAAACAGTTGTAGCTTTGTGGGTGGGATATCTGAATTTACTGGGTATAGAGGAATAATACCTGAGTCTTCAGGAATGTCAACGCATGAGGGGTATCATGGCTGAAACAGTATGCTCTGTTATGTCCATGGTACTGCTCATGTCTATAGGCGACGTTTACCATTTTCCATCAGGTGCGCCGTTAGCTTGTTTGCCTACTAAAATTTATGTTTGTGTATTAAAATCCAATACAAACGACCGCCGTTCGGATTCATTTAATTTCTTACTATATTCCCTTCTTCATGTCTTAGTTTTTTTAGGAGTCTTATCATTCTAAGATATCTTTCAACATCCTATTCCCAGCCCATTACTTCTAACATAATATTGGGCTATTAATAAATGTCACCGGAAAGTTAACTAGATACCGACGGAAATTTAAATTACCATAAACAAAATTCAAAGGTTACGCGATATGGGACCCCATAAATGGATAATGACGTAGGAAACCCGACGCTGGTTTGACGACTTCGATGTCTTTGAAAAGGAACGGCACACTTTGACTGGGGATAGAGATTTCTGGCAAGATAAAGGGATAGCCTTTGCCCAGCTGTGGGACACTTAAAAAAGGGGCTTTATAGAAAAAAAAAACTAACATTAATGATTTAATAGACCATTCAAATCCGAATACAACTTCAGTCTTCGTTTGGTAAACCAATTTATAAGACAACTTGAATGCTAAATACATACACCTACTCATACAAACGGTGCTTCGTTTATGTTACTATGTTTACTACCCTCTTAAATATACGCTGCCTAATGCATTTGTTACTTTGTACTTTATGTGGTTACTAGCTCCCCGCCCCGACTTCACACGAGTGCATTTAAAAAAAAAAAAAGAACATATATCTACTCACAGAACTTTAATAAGTATATAAAGTGCATAAAAATCTTCTGTAAAAAAATATGAAAATAATAAAATCCGTATCAAAATCTGTACCTTAGTGTATTCCTTTATTCGCCTCTTACGACGCCAACGGAAAAGAAATACTCGTAGATGGCCCATTTTATGAGAAGGATATAGGCCAAATTACATTCAGACGATGTTGCGGGTAAAGCTCATTAGTATAATATATAAAGCACTATAATATAATATATATATATTCTGATATTGCTCACAACTCAGGTTACATGTATATTTCTATAACTAATAACGCAACTTTTAAAATATTTGTAGTCTAGTGTTATTTAATTCATTATAATTGTTACTTCATTTTCTCGCACTGTATAACTACATATGTTAAAGTAAATGCTGTGAATACCTATAATAGGCGTGTGCATTAATATTGTATTGTATTTAATGTTTGTTATATATGTTATAATGCAATATGCTGCTTGTGTTCCTTTAACTATATATATAATATGATTGCATTAGTAAGATTAGTAAGGACTAAAGAAGTCGACTTCGTCAAAACTTCACACAACATTATGTTCCCCAAACAAACAAACAGCGACTTCATTTTCGACAAATTTCACGGTTCGTAAACAAATATAGTAAGCAAAACCCAATTTTCGTCGTTCGATCAAACCATAACCCGCCATTTATGGATATCTAACGATCAGTTACTTACTTGGTTGCATAAAAATATGTAATCCGAAAACCATTTGTGATTCTGACATTTCCTCAATTACCGACTCGCTTTATTCTTATTGCAACAAGCAATAATGTATCAATTTTACTATTATAACATCAAATACTACCTCAGATCGAAATACAAACTCAGGTCCGAATATATTTATATATATATTTCCAGTTGGGACCACGCGGAGGTGGACCTGACAAGGTACACTGCTAGCAATGGGATTGGTAGTTCACGTTACTAACAAACCTTTCCCCCGCAACACTAAGAGTTTTTTTTTATGAATAATAATGGAATGGTAACCCCGCCTGCGCTATCGGTATACACTGGCGGGGCACCAGTGATAGATGACAGGTGAGGATGAAAGCAGGTCAGTTAGACCATCGTGACGAATTTCACAAGAATTAACCACGATGGTTTCCAGGGGTAACCACGTGGAGGTCGACCTGACAAGGCAATGGGGCTATTAGATCCCATTATTAACAATCCCTTTCCCCCCGCAACACTAGGGTATTTTTTTTATGGGTGAAAATGGAATGGTAACCCCGCCTGCGCTAACGGGATACATTGGCGGAGCACCAGTGAAGGGTGATAGATGAGAATGAAAACAGGCCAGTTAGCCCATCATGATGAATTCACCAGGAATTAACCATGACAGTTTCCAGGGGGAACCGCGAGGAGGTCGACCTGGTTGGGTATATTGCTAGCAATGGAATTCTCAGTCTCCATTACTAACAATCCCTTCCCCCCGCAACACTAGGGTTGTCACATGCGCGTCGCCGACCCTGGAAAAACCTATATTTATATATTATTATTGTTAATTAAAAAAAGGGCCCCTCGGTGAAGACAAATAATGAGAGCAAAGTCTGTAATCAAGGCAAAGACCCTAACATAATAATGATAAGAGAATTGTTTACTTGATACAAGAGGTTATCACAGAGAGCAGTGTTATTGACTGTTTCGAAATACGTTTTAACCGAAACAACAACTTTGTTTACCAGAGGGAGACTGTACAAAAGTCGATTGCTTGGGTACCTCTGTCCCATTCGTGTTTCAACCGTGAAGCAGTTGTGTTTGCATGGCTGTGTTTCGGTTTGAAGGGTGGAGTAAGGCGTTAATTTACTAGGTACAGAGAAATAACATCTGAGTCCTCAGGGATGGCAACGCATGGGGGGTATCATGGGCGAAACAGTACACTCTGTTATGTCCATGGTACTGCTCATGTCTATAGGCGACGGTTATCACTTTCCATCAGGTTGGCCGTTAGCTTGTTTGCCATTCTAAGTTGTATGAAAAAAAAAAGAAACAAATAATAATAGATTTTTAGTTATTTCATTAATATATAAAACAACAACTGCTAATGAAAACATAAAATGAGACAATATTTTTAATATTTAGATATCAGTACATAATTATGAAAAGCGTAACTATAAAAATTATAATAAGCTGATAAAATCGTTCTCACCTGCGCTTGCGCCGCGGCCCAATAAAAACACCATAGTGTTGCACACACCAACAAAAAACGTTTAAAACTCATGACGACACTATTTCACGCACTACCGGATCATAAACTCTATTGTCATAACTCACTGTTACACTGCGCCTTAACTTCTGAAAAAAAAAACAATAAAAACAATGAATTAATCAAGTTAATTGCTGGCAACAACTGACTTGTCGGAAAAAGTCAAACATTAAAAAATTCGCCAATAAAAACTCTATAGTGCTTGACAAAAAAATTTTCCCCCATAATTCATGTAAGGATCATATACAAATCGATGAGACATTCACTTACTGGATTCAACCTTTAACAGTTTAATTATCAGCACGCGGCAAATGTCAACTGCACTATTTAATCGATTTCACTGTGCATCGATTAAAGTTCGCTCGCTAACAGCAGTAGCACAGCACTACGGTATCGATCAAAACTTTTTTCTGTCATCAAGTTCGAAATATGAAATTCGAGTTCGTAATTTAAATTTCGTGTTCGTTTCACAAGCATGCGGGCGGTGAACGAGTAGTTTGCACTGCGTTTCGCGTGATACTGGCTGGCATTTGAACTCGTGCGGATCCGCTAGTGCTCGCGACCCTACCCCACGTGGATTCCTGCGACCGGCCTTGATCGTATATTGTTTAGAGATTCGACACGGACAGTTTTAAATATATTAATACGTTGATTTTGAATATTTATTACTAATTTTAAGAGCATTGCATTTAAATATTATATGCTCAAATAAAGTGTGCTAACATGACTTTTAGTTTTTGCAATCAATCTATTTTTACCTGATGCATATTAGGTATCTGCATACTTATTAATTCTGCGGAAATTTCAATGTTTGTGTTTTTTTTATTGGATGAAAATGGTACGGTAGCCCCGCCTGCGCTAATGGGATACGCTGGCGGGGCACCAGTGAAGGGTGATAGATGAGAATGAAAACAGGCCAGTTAGCACATCATGATGAATTCATCAGGAATTAACCATGATAGTTTCCAGGGGAATTGCGAGGAGGTCGACCTGGTTGGGTATATTGCTAGCAATGGGATTCTCAGTCTCCATTACTAACAATCCCTTTCCCCCCTCAATGTTTATGTTTGAATCACTTAAAACTTTTCATTTGTAAAGCAAACCCTACAAAGCAAACATGTTTCTTATTAAAATAATAATTTTAATATGAATGGTGCATTTTTTTTTTAATAGGTGATGGTAACCCCGCACGCGCTATTGGTATACACTGGCGGGGCACCAGCGAAGGATGACAGATGAAGATGAAAGTAGGTCAGTTAGCCCATCTTGACGAATTAAACTAGAATTAGTCACGATGGTTTCCAGGGGGAACCACGTGGAGGTCGACTTGACAGGGTATATTGCTAGTAATGGGGCTATTTGACCCCATTACTAACAATCCCTTTCTCCCTATGAATGGTACATTCTCCTTGTGATAACTTGTAGACTTGAACTCTTATAACTAAACTTGTATTGAAGGAAGGGATTGTTAGTAATGGGGAGGTTAGTCCCCATCGCATGTACGGAAGCTCCAAGTTGTGCAGAGTGATGGAACGAGCTATGTTGGGTATCTCGCTCATAGACCACATTCCAAACATAAAAATCTGAAAGCGTACTATAATCAAAGATATCGGCTTAGTAGTGTCCAGGTTGAAGTGGAGATTTTTACAACACAGGGGGCAAACAAACAAGCGGCTCTCCTGGTGGTAAATGACTGCCGCCGCCCATGATCACCCACAACACTAACGGCATTGCAGGTGTGCTGCCGGCCTTTTAAAAAGGAATATGCTCTTTTCTTGAAGGTTATGTTAGCGTATCGGTTCGGAAATACTGCTGCTGGAAGTCGATTCGATTCGAAAGAGTGATTGTGCGTGGGAGAAAGTGCCACATGAGCAGACGTTAATGATGAAGGTTTTTTAATAGATGATAATGGCATAGTAACCCCGCCTGCGCTAACGGTATACGCTAGCGGAGCACTAGTGAGGGATGATAGGTGAGAATAGAAAAGGCAGGTCAGTTAGCCCATCGTGATAAATACACCTGGAATTCAGCAAGATGGTTTCCAGGACCACGAGGAGATCGACCTGACAGGGTATATTGCTAGCAATGGGAGTGGTAGTCCGCATTACTAACAATCCCTTCCCCCCTTTTTTAGTAGTTAGTTAATCCGGTAAGATGCTAAGAAATAACAAACAAACAAATTTATTTACACATTCATAATATTAGTAAATATATATATATACAACTTAGATTGGCAAACAAGCTGACGGCCCACCTGATGGAAAGTGGTAACCGTCGCCTATAGACATGAGCAGTACCATGAACATAACAGAGTATACTGTTTCGCCCATGATACCCCCCATGCGTTGCCATTCCTGAGGGCTCAGGTGTTATTCCTCTGTACCCTGTAAATTTACGCTATATCCCGCCCTTCAAACCGAAACGCGGCCATGTAAACACAATTTCACGGTAGAAACACGAATGGGACAGAGGTGCCCAAGCAATCGACTTTTGTACAAAGTCTTCCTCTGGTAATTTTTTTTTTTGTTTCTTAGTTTAGTTCTTTTAGAGTTAACCTCGCCTTTGTACATATACTTACCTCTGTCATATTTGTTACGCATTACATAGTGTATATAATAAAGTATAAATGAACAAAGTAAAAAGTTTTATCAGTGAATTAAACTAAAGGTTTTTCTTGAATAATAACTGTCGTGAGTTATCATTATCATATCAGACGTTATCTGTCCACTGCTGACCATAGGCCTCCCCCATAGACCGCCATAAGAAGTCCTGAGTCACCTATTCTGTTGTGACTCATCGTAATTATTGTACCATGAATAAGGGCTTTTATCGAGTTTTAAACTAGTCGAGAATTTAAAACGCGTGTAAAGCCGTCATTGTTTTATGTTCATCATCACATCAGTTGATGATGAACATGATGATGATGTTAACGGAAGCCACCTGCATCCATTGACTGAAGGTATGTTAATTAAACGCTATTACATCGAGACATGTGTAGAGCAATTTTCTCACGATGCCGACGTGAAGCAGTGATACCGTGACATTCTCGGCTAATGGCGCACTTCCTGTGGCCATCTCGCTGGGGACGATTATCACTGTCGTCTCCCGTATTTGGTTAGCGTTTACTTAACAATAATACAATTTTAACCAGTATCTTTATATACCTTATATAATTATTTACCAGAGGGAGACTTTGTACAAATGTCGCTTGCTCGGATATCTCTGTCCCATTCGTGTTTCAACTGTGAAGCAGTTGTGTTTGCATGGCTGTGTTTCGGTTTGAAGGGTGGGATATGGCGTGAATTTACAGGGCACAGAGGAATAACACCTGAGTCGTCAGGAATGGCAACGCAAGGGGGATATCATGGGTGAAACAGTACACTCTGTTATGTCCATGGTACTGCTCATGTCTATAGGCGTCGATTACCACTTTCCATCAGGTGGGCCGTCAGCTTGTTTGCCATTCTAAGTTGTATATAAAAAAAGAGTTCTCTTCCGGTAATTACATTTATTTATTTTATTTATTACTAGTGAATCAACCCGGCTTCGCACAGTTGGTTAGAATAAAAATTCCAACCAACCAAGCCAATTTAACTGATCGGTTATTTTATAGCATTTTATATGTGATTATTTAGATTGATATAACTTTTTTATTTATGAACCGTTTGAAATGAAACAAACACTAAATGTTAAGTGGAGCAAACTGCAACGCGTTAGTGACAACCGTATTCAAATCGGTTAAGCCATTTCTGAGATTAGCGTGCAGCGACCAGTTACGATTTCATTATGTGTATTGATTTATTTATTTAAAGCTCTCTGAAACGTTTTTTATTCCGACCAGTATGTTACCTGAAAAATATTACTCCTTTTTCTAACAGTCGGGTAAAAATGTCTGATTACCAATTATATGCAGTGGCATAATTAAAGTCAACATGTTCGCACAGCATTTGAGTACGAAACAATAGAATAACCCACAAGCCCGATGGCTTGCGCTCGCCACAAAAACTCCATCAGACTCAATGGAAGCAAGATATTGGCAGCTTAAGGCCACGTGTACTTCCACGGACAGGAAATAGTTGAGGGAGTACGACCATATGTATATATACATTGATGTTCCATTACGAAGAACAGAGTTGACTAAGCAAGCTCCCCTATCTCTTGCATTGAAACTACTCAATGATATTTTGAGCCAGTATCCGCAATTGGATGTATTTGCCTCCAACTTGCTGGAGTTTCGTCGGGTGACCACAGAGTATTTGTGTTCAGACATTTTTTGTTTGAGTTAAATCTTTTTATATTATTTATTTTTTGTTATTTTTGTGTAATATTCCTTTTTGTATGTTATTGTACTCATGCTTTCCTGGGGGAGCGTATTGGAAGACTGTAAGGCTCACCCAGTGGATGTAATAAATAAATAATATATATATATATATATATATATATATATATATATATATATAGAAGTTTTTTTTAATGGGTGAAAATGGCATGGTATCTCCGCCTGCACTATCGGTATACACTGGCGAGGTACCAGTGAGAGGTGATAGGTGAGGATGAAAAAGCAGGTCAGTTAGCCCATCGTCACAAATTCAACGATAAATTAGTCACGATAGTTTCCAGGGGGAACCGCGTGGAGGTCGACCTATATATAGGCGACGGTTACCACTTTCCAAAAATATTATACTGTGCTAATCTCAACGTCAGACGAACAAGTTATTGTAGATTTTTTTTACAACACAAGGAGCAAACGAGCATACGTCTCACCTGGTGGTAAGTGATTACCGCCGCCCATGATCACCCACAACACCAACGGCATTGCAGGTGCTGCCGGCCTTTTAAAAGGGAATATGCTCTTTTCTTGAAGGTTATGTTGTCGTATCAGTTCGGAAATACTGCTGCTGGAAGTTACGAGTATTTTTTTTTTCTTTTTGATGGGTGAAAATGGTATGGTAACCCCGCCTGCGCTAACGGGATACGCTGGCGAAGCACCAGTGAAGGGTGATAGATGAGAATGAAAACAGACCAGTTAGCCCATCATGATAAATTCATCAGGAATTAACCATGATAGTTTCCAGGGGAAACCGCGAGGAGGTCGACTTGGTTGAGTATATTGCTAGCAATGGTATTCTCAGTCTCCATTACTAACAATCTCTTTCCCCCCTAGTTACGAGTATTTACCGTAGCATTACCACCTTAACGTTTACTTCAGTAGTGGCAAATGGTAATGCATAATTGTACTGTCATTAGCAGTTTTGGCGTTAATTATGGCTTCTATATATTAATTTTGATTGGATTTAAATATACTTTGGTGTCAAGTTGCTTACCTCCCATATTCAATATTCAACCGAAATTCAACTTTATTCTCTATGCTATTTATCACAATTTTCTTTGTGCTCATGTTGTATCAGCAATTATTCTTAACTAACATTGACGTTGAAGAGATAGGGCTGTTGTTTAGTTTTTTTTTTTTTTTATATGGGAAATATTACAATAGAAAAATATTTCGAATTTATTTCAGAGATACGTTGTTAT